AACCCTGCTAAGCACTCGATCGTTGTGTCTCGCGATGTGACCTTCGATGAGAGTGTCTTCCCTGCACGTAAGGAACCCGGCAATCGCCCCGTTACCCCAGGGGATAATCCGTTCCCAGATCTCCAAGATGATGATTCGTCTTCAGACTCTTCCTCGGATTCTGAGGGCTCTCCATCAAATCAGGGCTTTAGGATTCCTTTACCCGATGGCAACGAGATTGACTTTGATGATCTCGAGCCTGCACAACCGCCACCTCCTCAACGACCTCCCACACCGCCTGCTCAAGAGCAACCGCAACCGCAACAACTACCTCCTGTAGAGCAACCTCCACCACGACCTCGACATGTTCGTAATCGTCATGAGCCAGTGGGAGTCAACCCTCAGGCTCCGCCTCCTCGACGTTCAAATCGTCAAGGTGCAGGTCGCAATCCTCGATGGGAAAAGGACAATGCTGAAGCTGAGGGCTCTAATCGTCCTTCTCAGGTCGACGCTCGTACTCGTCCTGATGGCTCTCGCTCTGATGCGCCTAACCCTGGGGATGCAGATGCTTTACTTGAGTTGCTTCTTGATGCTGCGCAGTACAAACCAGGTGTTCCTCGTAATCGGCATGAAGCAATGCGTTCTCCAAAAGCTGATCTCTGGCGTGCTGCCGAGAAAGCTGAGTACGACTCGCTGATCGAAAACAAAACCTGGATTCTAGTGCCTCGTCCTAAAGGCAAGCCTGTCGTCTCTTGTAGATGGGTTTACGACGAGAAGCACGATGGTCGATTCAAGGCACGGTTGGTTGCACGGGGTTTCACCCAGGTTTGGGGTGAGAACTATCACGAGACGTTCTCTCCCGTTGCACGGTATGAATCTATCCGGTATCTCATTGCGCACGCTGCGCTTGAGGACTGGGAGATGGAGTCTATGGACGTCAAAACCGCATTCCTGAATGGTGATCTTGAGGAAGAGATCTATATGGAACAACCGGAAGGTTGGGTCGTGAAGGGGAAAGAGGATCACGTTTGCTTGCTCAAGAAGGCTATCTATGGTCTTAAGCAGGCTTCGCGTCAATGGAATGCGAAGATCCATCAATCCCTTCTTGATCTGGAGTTTACACGGACGTATTCCGATGCCGGCGTATACGTATATCGGCGACATGGGGGGAATTCAGTCACCATTGTGGTTCTTTATGTCGACGATCTACTCCTCTTTGGCGACAACAAGAATCACATCAAGCAAGTCAAACGGACGCTCAGACGCCAATACAAAATGACGGACTTAGGCACAGTACAGCGCTTCCTTGGTCTTCGCATTCATCGTGATCGTGCTTCGCGCGTTGTCGACATTGACCAGGAGGACTATGTCCAGTCTGTCTTAGAGCGTTTCGAGATGGCTGACTGTAAACCTGCCAATACCCCTCTTCCTGCGGGCGCTGCTCTCGTCAAGTACGACGGACTCGCCTCAGACGCTGAACGGTCGCGTTACCAGAGCCTCATTGG